GACATCTATTACCATGGAATTCATATACTTGAGCTGAGTATTACGTCCACTGAACATATAGGGCCAAACCCACACACGACCACTCTAATGTGGCTTTGATAGCTCAGTTGGTAGAGCATTGCACTGGTAACACAAGGGTCGTGGGTTCAAATCCCGTTCAGAGCCTGAAATTTTTTCAGGTCATTTTTCCAGTAGTGTTATGGCTGTATATGCATCATTCATTCTTTCACAATTCCTGTTATGTTTTATTTAGTAAACATGGTGGTCAGATGCATGTTCTTGTACAACGTACATAATTCTTCCTTGTAAAATCTCAGTAACATATCAAGTTACACCATATTCAAACAGAGCTTTTTTTCACACTACCTTCCTTAACTTAAGGAATACATGTTTAAGGAATTATATAATGAAACTTAGAGAGATAATGTACAACATCCAAATATCTTTTCTTTGTTGCAAGCAATCTTTACTTGTCAGGATGTAGCAGACCAAAAATTACAGATAGGTATGAAAAACTTGATCCATAGGCGTGAGTAGCCTAGCCTCCTACACAGACACAGTCTTCCTCACCCTTGAATGTAATTATAGTTTTCTGATCACTTATTGTTGTTGCAATTTGTCTATGTTAGTTTTCTATGTATGTTGTATTTTATCTCACGCAGCTCATTTAAAATAAGGAATCTAGAATTCTGTATAAACTGGCCTAATTACTCAGATGTCTCCTTTTTATACTTGTAAACATATTTATTTTTTTGTTTTTGTTTTTGTTTTGATCATCTGTGCAATTGAATTGGAGTAAATAAATAAATAAATGTCTGCTGAAACACCAGGCTATGCATGTGGCCCAATCACAGCACACTTCCCGATCAAGGCAAGGCACTTTGCACCCAGATAAATTTTGCAAAAGACTTCAACGGATACAAGCATGGTCTTTCAATGGGCTTGAACATTAAATTTATTTTTTTAAAATTACTTATTGATTTAAATCCTTATCAGCAAGAAGCTGTTAGAGAGTACAATGTATTTCATGAAGAAAGAGATGGACTTGTTCATAGAAGACATTTGTTTGGTTAGGTCTGCAGGAAGTCTTCTTAAAACTTTAGATGACACCAAAATACTATAGAGCGTGGCCTTTCAAAGAGTGTCTGAGACACTTAAAATATTATGTTTAAATTTGTGAAACTATTGGTATTTTGTGAAGAAAAAGATAAAAAGTGTTAATTTGTAAATCTGTGAACTTGGACTGGATTTGAAAAATTGCACATTTTAGACATACTTATACCTAAAAGCATAATTTACCATTCAATGGGTGATTCCAGAAAATATCCATACCCTACCAGCTTTTGGCGAATAAACATCACACGTTGCGTGACTCAAAATTTGGCCAAGAGGGAGTTTGGGTCTGGTCACCGACAAAAAAAAATAATAACAACAATAAACCACGGGTAGAACATGAACCGCGCTCGGCCCATGGCCACACGGTTAACAAGAGATCCATCAACTTTAGGGCCTCTGGAGCCCAATGTGCAACCCACATTTTATCGCTTTTCTTCTGTTAATGAACGTGAACATATACGTGATTGATCAATGTCTGTCTTGTTTCTTACTTTCCGCAGTAGTTAGCAGTGTTCTCAGTTCGTTTGTGCTTTCACACTCTTGTCTGTCTCCTCTAGCAACCCCCTCATGTACTCAGAATTCTAATCGTAAGCACCCCCAGGCCGTTGGATTTCTAGTTGAAAGAGCCTCCTTGCCCTCAGAATTCCAGAAAGTTACAGTACAGGTAGTAGTTACAGTATATCGCACCAAAGGAGCCTGTTCATTTATGACTGGCTTTTTATTACACCATTACCAGTGCAAATTGGCTCTAAAGTAATTTCAGAGTGATCTCCAGCTGATCTTTATAAAAAAAGGGGAAAGAAATGTGCTGTCTGTTTCAGCAGACATTTATTGGGGAGGAAGACTGCTTGACAACCCTAAAGAGCTTATGTGTAGAAGGCTATGAGTAGCTGTGAGACATACGTTTTTGACCTCCAAACATGGAACCCATGCCTAAGAGGATGATTATATGACAAATATCGGCCTGGCTGAAATTACAACAGGTTAGGTGGGGGCTGCGATTAACAAAACTCAACCTAAGGGCTAGGCCCAAAATGTCTGCTATAAACATCATTTTTAATTTGGCACTGCGTTTAACTTAATACTATTTACAACTTTTGAGCTGCGATTAATCAGCCCAGCTTCTGAAACAAATCCTCTTGAAATAAAATTGGGAATTACATGGAGAAGATTTCAGCCCAGGCCTAGCTTCAGTCCAGGCTGAAAGTTTCAGCCCTGCCTGGTTTGAGAATAGACTGAAAGCCCAATGTAATCGGAATCAAGTTTCTGCCCATGATGTCAAACCAAGAAATCCTCACTTGGTTCAAGAGGCGTGTATGATATCTTACTGCCAGAACAATGCAAATATGCTCATCAGTCTACGAACTGCAAATTTAAACCCACTGTGAACAGATTCATCTTCATTTCAGTAAAGCTTACCCTTAACCTTGGTACCAGAGGAAGGAGATGACGTAGATGACTTGCTCGCACCAGGAACTTGTTGTTGTTTTCGTTTTGATTTCTCTTGTGGCTGAGGGACTGCTGTAGAACTAGAGGGCGTCTTGCCGCCTTCCCCTACATGTACTTTCTCATTAGCTGTAGTCTCGTTCTCTGTCGGTCTCTCTCGTCCTGTCTCTGGCAGTTCGTCATATTCAGCTGCTGTAGAACTTGAAGGCTCAGGATCTGACCTTACTCCCGTAGCAGGCTTCTCTTCGCTTTCAACTTCAACTTCGTCATCATCGACAAGCTTTCCTGCCCCTTCGTGTCTTCCAGGAGTGGGTAAATCTTGTCCTCT